TTTATTTCCCGCAGTAGGTTGCCATTTCTTTCTGCGGTAGACCAGTTGCCATCCAAGGCTATAGAACCCGGTCTGTCCACCTATTTACCCATAGCTGGTGGTGGGGAGAAGAGGAGGAGTTTTGCCTTTCCCAAGGGTATTAGCATATAAATGAATGACTGGAATTCGAACTCGGCTCTCCGATTCATCAACCCGAACCGCTATCCATTACTCCACCGTTCCTCCTAACGATAATTACAAATATAAAATAAAATAAGAATTATCATAAAACTAAATTAGAATAATATTATTCTATGTTTAAAACCATTTTTAATAAGAGTAGGAAACGCTGAACGTAATAAAATTGGAGAGGTACAATTTATAGGGTTTGATTACCAAACAAGGGGTGCGTATTATACATGAATAGAAGCACACAATTTTAGGTGTGCGCATTATGAATGAAGGCGTATTATACATGGGAATTACGGCACCTAGTGTAGATAGATGTTTAATAATAAACAGCTTTTCGAAAAGTTAATAGAATCTTTAAAAAATTGCCGTAAAATAAAATAAGAATTATCATAAAACTAAATTAGAATAATATTATTCTATGTTTAAAACCATTTTTTTAATAAGAGTAGTAAACGCTGAATGTAATGAAATTGAAGAGGTACAATTTATAGGGTCTGATTACCAAACAAGGGGTGCGTATTATGCGTGAGTAGAACCATTTTCCCTCACCTTCAGCACAATTTTAGGGGTGCGTATTATGGATGAAGGCGTATTATACATGGTGAATTACGCTATATATTTATATTAGTAACTTAATAGTTTTATAAATATTGTAAAATTCTAAAATTAAATGACAATACTATTACATGTATGCAGTCTCAAGTTTTTAAGGAAACTTGTTTTAAACAAAAAAATTTCTTTCTCTCTCTCTCTCACACACACACACACACACACACACAACACACACACACACACGCAGACACACACACATACATACACACACACACACACACACACGCAGACACACACACACATACACACACACACGCGCAGACACACACACATACACACACACACATACACACACACACATACACACACACACACACACTTTTTATTTCCAGTCTCGGTTTGTGGAATCAGAGAACCATGTTCGAATTCCAGTCGAATCCATTACATTCACATACATGCTCATACCCTTGGGAAAGGTATGAATCCTCTTCTCCCCGAGCTATGAGTAAATTGCAGGACAGCCTAGGGCCTATAGCCTTGGATGTCAACTGGTCTACCGGACAAAGAAATGGCAACCTACTCCGGGAAAAATCTGCTTCGTCAGTCATGTACCGAAAGATACATGATCGCCTAAGCGTGTATCATGCACGGCAGATAAATGAATGAATGAATGAAAGAGTAAAAAGTTGCATAGAGCAACAAAAGACTGGAAGTTGTGGAGAGCCATGATCGCTCACTTTTTAAAAGGACATGACATATAAAAGATACATGATCGCCGAAGCGTATATCACGCATGGCACATAACTGACTGGCTGAAACAGTAAAAAGTTGCATAGAGCAACAAAAAGACTGGAAGTTTTGGAGATTAAAATGATATCACTTTTTAAAAAGGACATGGCATATAAAACATACATGATCGCCTAAGCGTGTATCACTCATGGCACATAACTGACTGACTAAAAGAGTAAAAAGTTGCATAGAGCAACAAAAGACTGGAAATTGTGGAGAGCCATGATCGCTCACATCCTAACAAGACATGGCATATAAAAGATACACGATCGTCTAAGCGTGTATCACTCATGGCACATAATTGACTGACTTTTTATTATTATCATCATTGTTATTATTATTGTTTTTTTAATATTGCTTCATATTATTTTTTAACAAATTCTTAGTAATTTCTTCCTACCCTTTCGTTATTTTTCTTTTTTATGGATGCTATGCATTTTAGAAACTTGTTTAGATCAAATTAATGGCCTTTTAGGCTTTCTTCCCATGAACAAGAGTTCACATTTTTAATAAGAAGAATTATGTCATGGGGTGGGGATCAGGATTTTGAAGATGCTTAGGTGGGGCATGGCCCCAAAATGGTTGAAAACCACTGCTGTAGTAAAGCCTTGTAAGTAATAATTTCAATATAAACCCATATATCTGTGAATTTTGCTAACGACACGTAAACCCATCATGTACTGCAGGATCAGAAGCGAGCATTTTATGGGAAATTAGTCCATATAGAAAATAAATGAAACATAAAAAAATACTTAATCATTAGGCCCATAAGATTTTTATTCAGTGTGAAATTGAACAGAAAGAATTTGTTTATTTAAAAAATATAATTAATTGGAAAGGAAAGAAGTGTATGAAGTCTGGCTCAAAAATATTCTTTTGAACGCCTAATAAAAATTAAGCTGGAGCGAGAAAAATTGTTTGTGAACATGAAACTTTCAATTGAGAAAGTTAAAAGGGCCATTTTGTAAAGTGATACAGTGAAAATTGTCACTTTGTTGTTAATCCACTGACCTGTCAGGAGTCGAGAGGTCATTTTTAGAAGTAACTAATAACATTGTTGGCCAATGAACGATTTTGGTAGCAGTGATGTGACGAAATAAAGCGTAACCTCTTTGAAATCATTATCACCGCTTATAGTTTTTTTTTTCTTTTTCCGTTTTTATTTCTCCTTCTTCTTCTTCTTCTTCTTCTTCTTCTTTAATGTTTCTGCAGTGTTCTACTCCTCTCGTTTCCTTTCTTTTTCCTTAATTTCTTTCAGGTTCATTTCTTCTTCTTCTTCTTCTTCTTCTTCTTCTTCTTCTTCTTCTTCGTCGTCGTCGTCGTCGTCGTCTCTGTGACACGTACCTTCAGAACATAGGTGACTTCCTATCTCATGTGACACTTAGCAATTTTCTCCCTTTGCTGAAGCTATCACACCTTATCTCGCCATCCATTCACACAAGGTAAGTGGCTCGCTGCCTTTTCGTATCTTTCTGTCCTCAGTATGCCCCGTGGTGGTTACGTTTACCGAGCCTTCCTTCCTCATTAGGAATTTTGAATTAAGAATTTCAGCTGCCTTGTCCAGATTTTGAATAGAAATCTTTTCTGTTGCCATTTTCTTTAAGACTCCGGTCATGGAATTTTAAGTATCCTTCCGTATAACCACCAGTTTTCTTTTCATCCGTACCCATATTGTCAGTCATTCACTGCCATAGAAGTGGATCCAGCACTCTTTTCTTCGTTTCTAATAGTATATAAACTTTATACTTATAAAAGACGATCGGGTCCTTACTGATAACGAATTGACGCCTGTCCTCGTCATCGTTGGCTGAACACATTGCCGAGTATCGGGCTGCTTATCGACATTTTGTTCCATTTGAAATGAGTCCTATGTTGGATCGCATGATAGTGTAGGATGGTTCAAGGGATGGGGAGCTCTGTATTCTTTTGGGGTTCTTTTCTTCTATTCTATTTATCTTCTGGTGCTTTTGAAGGATGTGCTTTTGTGGACTGCTTTTCTCCAATTGTTTTTTTATTTATTTTTTTCTGCAACATCTCTCTCCCGGATCGATTTCTGTTCTCAGCAAAGCATTTTTGAGTTAATCCTTGAATCGACGACGTTGTGTTCCACCTGGTCTTTTGCCAGATACGAGCTCTGGGAAGAGGATTTGTCTGGGTATGCGGATATCTCTCATTCGGGCCAAGTGTCAGGCTTATCGAGGTTTGTGACGAGTAATGATCGCTTCTAAACTCTCCATCTTTACAAAGAGAACTTTTTGTTGTTGATGTCCCGCTCCTGCCACATGTTCCGCGGGATTTAATGAAGTTTCATTTGATGGAATCTTTGAAATTTGCTGATGGCCCTTCTGTAGAGTATCCACGTCTCACAGGCATACAGGATAGTCGAGATTACAACAGATCGATAGACCATGAGCTTAGTGATTTGTGTTAGCCCAGGATTGTTGAAGACTCTTTTGAATAGATTCCTGAACGCTGTGTAGACGGCCTTGATTCGTTTATCGACGTCATTTTCATGTATTTGAGGTTAGTACGTCTCCAGGTCCAGTCCGTTGATAATGATTTTGATGTCAGTTGATGGTTGTTGTCCTGGTCATGGTTGGAGCAGGACCTTGATCTTTGCTACGTTGATGGTGAGTCCGTAGAGCATATACTCTCTGAAGAGGTTGTCCGCTGAGTTCTGGAGACAGAGTTCATAGGCCAGGGTACAATTGTTATAGGCGCGTTGGAGCTCCGTGTCTTGTGCGTATGTTGTTCGAGTCCTGGACCTGAAGCCAGGTATGTAAAAGAGATGACTAAAAGGGAAGGATAGCTAAACAATATCACAAGAGTAGAAATTAAAAGAGACAGACTCAAATTTTTTTGTTTAACAACAGCAAATTTATACAGTTGATTGATTGATTTGTTGCTTACGGTTTATCAACCCTAGGCAGGTTATTTAAAGCCAGAAAATATTTCTTTTAAACTGTAAGAATTTTTGGAAATAATAATTAACGTATAATTGTGGCATATCTTTCACAAGGGTATTTTCGCATGAATATAACAAACCGGCCCGAATTCGAACTCGGCTTTCCAATTTCCAGTTCTGAGCCGTTATCCATTACACCACCCGCACATCCAAGTAGAAGAGAAGTTAATAAGAAATAAAAAGTAAAAACGACGACAAAAGAATTAAAAAAACTGAAAACGAATTATATAACTATAAATTAAAGTGGTAAATTGATTCATTTCCTTTTTTACGGTTTATCAACCTTTTGTAAGTTATTTAAAGCCATAAATATTTTTAAATTGTAAGAAATTTTAAAGATAATAATTATTTGCTTATAGAAATTATTCCATAGCTGGAGGGAGGAGAAGAGGTGGGTTTATATTTTTCCCAAAGCCTTTTGCGTGTAAGGGAATGTAATGAACCCGACGGGAATAGAAACTCGGCCCACCAATTTCCAACTCTGAGCCGTTATCCATTACACCACCTACACATCCAAGCTTAAAACACCTGGTATTCCCAAGTGGTTACCCATCTAGCTACCGACCAGGTTCGACGTTGCTTAACTTCGGTAATCGTACCAGAACCGGTGTTTCAACGTGATATATTCGTAAGCCAATCTATGCAGGAATATTTAACAATCTTACAGGATGTAGAAAACTATGTTGGAATAATTGTAGAGGTGAAAGAGTTCAACTGAGAGTCTTGATACGAATTGTGGAGAGCCATGATCGCCTACGTCCTGAGGAGATACGGCATATAAATCTCTTAATACATGTTTTCGTCGTTTCTCCCAAAACCTATTCCGCTATCTATTTATTCAAGCTCATCAAATATGTCATATGCTGTTTTCCTCTGTACCTTATTTCATCAATCAGTCCTGTGAGTATCAGATTTTCCAAGCTCTCCTTCCTCATTATCTCTTTCTGGGTTTTCCCTTAGACAACACTGATGATATTTTGAGAGCATAGGCAACTGTTTTTTGGTTTTTTTTTTTACCTATAAAATTAAATCCTACCAAGGCTTTCACCAGGAGCGAGCTCCCAGCGCTGCCTGACCTGCGTTATTTGGTGAAACAAACATTGCGATAGTAATAACCACAATCTTTTTTTTTCTTCTGTTAACACGCAAAACCCATTTTTCATCACCTGTAACAATACGATGCAAAAGATGAAAGATTAGCATTCCTGGTTTTAAAAAAAAAAGCTACAAAAAACTGTTCTCAGGCAAAACCACTTAAGGAATCCGAATTCAGTCTTTACAGGTTTTCCCAAATTGTTTGAGAGGTACCTGGGCAATTGAACATGACAGAATAAGTTTTCTGAGATAAAGCTATGTTGCCTTGAGACAGATCCAATTCAATAATCTCTTTCTAATATTTTTCATTCAGCGACGATCGTTTTTCAGTTTGAGGATACGAGGTTCCCAACAAAATCCAAAGAAGGATTTGCAATGTAATCAGTCATAGACGTGATGTGGCTTCCCTCTGTCTTTTCTACAAATATTTTCATGGCAACTATTCTGATGAGCTATATTCCCTGACGCCCAGACTACATGAATTTAAGCATGCTACTAGATTGGCATGTAGATACCACCCTTTTACTGTTGAAATAGTTAAATACAACCACTACTTCTACTCCAGCAGTTTCTTTTCTCGAGCTTCCCGACAGTGTAACTCCCTTCCTCTTACTTGCTTCCCTGATAAGTCAGTCAGTTAATTAAGTGCCATACGCGATACATACTTGGGAGATCATGTATCTTTCGACACATGACTGACGAGGCAGATTTCTTTCCTCTAGCAGGTTGCCTTTTCTTTCTGCGATAGACCAGTTGCCATCCAAGGCTATAGAACCCTGTCTGTCCTGCTATTTACCCATAGCTGTCTGAGAAGAAGGGGATTCATATCTTTCCCAAGGTTATTAGCACGTAATTCGTCTGGAATTCGAACTCGGCTCTCCGATTACTCAATCCGAGCCGCTATTGTTTACTGCACCGCCCCCCACTTTATAACTACAATCTTCAAAAATGTAAATGCAACGCCACTTGCCATCTTCCTTTATCCTTTCCTCAATTCCCTTTATACACAGTCACTTTCACTCGCTGTAACTCCCTACGTGCTAGTGACTCTCCCACCTTGCTTGGGGTAAAATGCTTATATATATATATATATATATATATATATATATATTACATTGAATCATTCATTTAGTAAATTAGTAAAGTTAATAAAATTAATGATATAAGATGGCGAAATCCCTTCGCTGACAAAATTTTAAAGATACATTAACCTACTAATCACTCAGTGAATGTCATGATCCTTGTTTTTTAAAATGATAAGCTGTATGCTACCTGAATTTTACCAAAAACAATATAATTCCCGTGCCTGAAGATGAGTGAATGTACAGTCGAAAGTACTTGCGTATTTAAGAAAGACCTAATACAGCTTATAATTTTAAAAAACAAGGATCATAACATTCATCGAGTGATTAGTAGGTTAATGCAACTTTAAAATTTTGTTAGCGAAGGAATTTCACCATTTTATCTCATTAACTTTACTAATTTATTTTTTGTATGAATGATTCATTTAATGTAATATAAATTGAACTGCACCACATATTTCACACACACACACACACGCAAACGCACACACACACACACACACACATATATATATATATATATATATATATATATATATATATATATATATATATATGAACATTGAAGTTAACACTCAGAGGCGACAGGCTGTTTCATGCTGGATGCAATCGTCAGGCCGCTCTTTTATATTTATATTTACATACGCTCTATCTCTGATATTGACCACTTTATCCCATAAATATAGCACAGCTTAAAACTATATTTCTTCATATATATATATATATATATATATATATATATATATACTTTTTTAAACGGCTGGGATGTACGAATCTGCACTGCATCCGTATACACCGCACAAATGTTTTCAAAATCTTCTGTAGCCGTGTTATCTTTTAGAATTCAGGTATTAAACAGTGGCGAATAAGTTGCCTTCTTAAAATTGTAATTCCCCGTGAGGTTAAATTATGAAATACACCATAACCGTCCCACTATCGAATAGGAAGGATGATAAATTAATTCTAGGTGTCATTTCAATTGACTTAATCTTAGACTCATAATTAATAGTGGATAAGTCAAAAAAATCGCTATAGAATATCTTTCGTTTTGTCTGAAGAGTTCGGATAGTTTTTTACTTTCCCTCGACCAGAACAAAGTAATATGTTAATTAAGTTCAGTCTCCTAAAATCCGCGAATTGCGATCCCCCGGTGGAGATTGACTACACTCGAGTAGTCATAGTCTACAAGTCGAATTTGATAAGTTTTGCTCTATGGTAAGTACCCGATCATGTTTGATTATCTCATCACATTTGGCCAAAGAATCTCCAAATTATCGCATTTCCTCAAAATAGAACATGGTAAATCAGCTTTATGGCAGGAACTGAAATAAACAGAATCGAGAGGTTAATTTACTGGCAGTTTTGCGAGAGTTCTTCACTTGGAAGAATTCCATTGTAATTCAAGAATTTCTTCAAGAGAATCTTAACCTTTTACTCTCTAAGACTGTCTTTCAATCTCTTTCCGGATTAGCAACGGCTTCTTGAACAAATAAGATCGTTGTACAATTGCAAATGATAATAGTCGAGTTCTGTCTGCCAGAATCGCTTTCATTAACCACTGGAAATATTCCTTCCTGGTTTTCAAGTATTACTATAGAAAAACTATTTATATTCTTTGTATAGTCAAATTATAAGCAACGATTTTACTGTAAGTCATTATCAATACATTACCTAATTGCTTCTGCATTATTTCCAAAGTACTAATAATACTTTCTCTCTCTGATTTTCATTCTTCTTCTTCTTCTTCTCCGCCTCCTCCTTCTCTTTCTAAGCCTCCTCCTCCTCCTACTACTACTACTACACCCCTCTTCTTCTTCTTCTTTTTCTTCTCTTTCTAAGCCTCCTCCTTCTCCTCCTTCTTCTTCTTCTTCTTCATCTCTCCGCCTCCCCCTCCTCCTTCTTCTTCTCCTACTTCTTCTTCTTTTTTCTTCTTCTTCTTCGCCTCCTCCTTCTCTTTCTTAGCCTTCTCCTCCTCCTCATCTTTCTTCTTCTTCTTTTTCTTCTTCTCTTTCTAAGCCTCCTCCTCCTCTTCCTTCTTCTTCTTCTTCTTCATCATCTCTCCTCCTCCTCCTCCTCCTTCTTCTTCTTCTTCTTCTTCATCATCTCTCTGCCTCCTCCTCCTCCTTCTTCTTTTCTTCTTCTTCATCATCATCTCTCCGCCTCCTCCTCCTCCTCCTCCTCCTTCTTCTTCTTCTTCTTTAACATGTCTTCTTCAGACACGGAAGAATCAGCACATTCAAAACATAACATTCAAAAACCAGCTACAGACGTATTTATCCTTTTTGATTCTTTTTTTATGACCTTCTGAGCTTGAAACGAGTCCAATTGTCGACTCATACGTCCGGGAGAGGTGTTAGCCACCGCTCGGGAACATTCAAGGTGCCTCAGTTTCTTTGTTACTATATTAAAAACAAATAAAAAATTATGCCTGAAAATGAAACGTATTTCCGAAAATAATTGGCAGGGAAGGGCTTAATTCTTACTTTAATTCCAGGCTAGTCATTATCCCTCTCTCTCTCTCTCTCTCTCTCTCTCTATCTATCTATCTATCTATATATATATATATATATATGCAAACCTACCTAGGTTTCACCTAAACGGGTCTTTACCCTGAAGATCCGTTACCTGAAGATATTTAGGTACTTAGTGTATTGAGCACTTTACGTAGTTGTCTTTTTACTCGTTTTGTTTTTTTTTCTTTAGACTTGGAGCTTAAACACTTGACGATTGTTTTCGCCTTGGTTTAATGTTCTTGGTTCTTTCTTTTTTTTTTTCGTATATTTCCTCCGATACTGATTTTTCTACTACAAGTTAAGCTATCAGAGGTTTTTCCTAAGGAGTACCACCATATATATATATATATCTTTGATTTTCGGTTAGGGATAGACGTGGGAACAAGATTCAATTTCAGGCACCAAGACAAGTATTCGTCCCCAGTGGGCTCTGATAAATTCTTCTGGGAGGGATGGGAGTTCAGAAGGGCAGCGATTCTAATTTCTAGGTCAATCTCCAAGTTAATCTTTTAGCTTTTCAAACGAAAAGATATATGAGAATTACTGAAACGTTCTTGGCTCAGATTTCTTCACAAATTTCGATGATGCCTTGACAGCGGCTCGGAATGACAACTCAGAAATCCGAGTTCGAATTCCAGTCGGGTTCATCGCATTTACGTGCGCTCAAATACCCTTGCGAAAGGTATGAATCTATTTTTACCCCCACCCATGGGTTAAATAACAGGCCTCTTATTTTGAAAAATTATTCTTATTCTCAAAAAGAAATGTTAAGAAAATATTGATTCAGAAGAAAAGAATTATTCTTACAATCTAAAATCATTTGGCTTTAAATAACCAAAATAGGGTAGATAAAACATAAAAAATTATTCAATTAATCCCCCAAACAAGCTCTATTCTTTTGCACCACCTGAATAAATATTAAAAATAGATCGATAGTA